TCCCCCCTCTGAACGGGTCCCCGTTTGGTAGATGCGCTGGACCAACACGGGGACCAGATCAGGGTGCAGCAGGGGTTACTTAGGTTGCACTGCAATAACAAAATCTGAACATGCAAGGCATTCGATTACATAATGATACTTCTATTGTGTGCAGAAAAAAAAACATGGAGGCCGGGAACATTTCGATAACACCCGCAGTGTTCATGCGATGGTAGTGGCAGAAACAGTAGCATAACAGTAATACGACAGGTAGGTAGTATTGCCGGCAAATACAAGGGAGACTGGAGTGGCCATTTCTGGTTCATTAACCGTCACCAGCCAGTCAGACCCAGCCCCAAGTGCTGCCACACCTGAGCCTCGAACTCGCAACCTTTTGATCAGACTCCCTCTTGTCTTTGCCAGCAATACTATCTGTCTATACTTCCAGCTGCTACAGCTGTCAGGGCCTCTGTCGAGTCCCAAGGCAAAGCGGGCCAGATGGGTTCCGTTTCCGGTCGGGCGAATGTTCATCAACAAGTGTCAATATTCTTCGACATAAACTGGCAAGACGACGAGCTCGTGGCTCAATGGTTAGAGCGTTTGACTCTGATCAAAAAGTGCACGATTTCGAGGCTCGGGTGGGGCACCACTTGGGGGTTGTGTATGACTGTCTGACGATGGCTAATAAGCCAGAAATGGCCATTCCAGTCTCCTTTGTCCTTGCCGGCAATACTATCTGCTCAGACTACCAGCTGTTACGGCTGTCAGGACTCAGTTTTAAATGATACTTGTGACTTGCGCTGCATCTACCGCACACACTCTCCTCCCTCACCCATCCCCTGCGCCCGCTGTCATGACAGAGTCGAGATGACCGGAGGTGGGAGTGGGCGCAGGTGGCTGGCGTGGTATGAGGCTGTACCTACGCTTGCCACCACGACCCCGCCCGCCCCCATGTTCGGTATTTGTTATGAGAGTACAACCCGAATAACCCCTGCTGCGTCCTAATCTGCTGCCTCCCACGTCGGTCCAGCGTATCTACCATGCGTGGGTCCTTTTAGAGGGCCCAAACCACACCAGTTACGGACTTGCGCTGGCCTGTGAGCGCATGCTGCAAGTAAGTCTGACCGCCGTTCTGGGACAGTACAGCCGGCTGCAGGAACAGATTGGTTCTAGGAGAGAACTAGGGTCTAATGTGAACGTCAGACGTCTCTGAAGTTATTCACGTTACGCAACGAGAGGAAGTAACTGATGAGCTTTAAACTAGGGTATAATCCGCTCACTTGAGTGCTCCAATAGTAGGCGGCCTGCATACTGGCAGAGCCACTGATGATGTCCGGAATGTGTGACAGGCCCAAGTAGTAGTCCACATTGAGAAGGCCTCTGTGAAGTTGATTCAGGGTGCCATCAGGAAGCCGACGAACTCCATGATCTAGAGGAGGAAGAGGAGGAGGGAACAGGAGATCAGCGGGCAATCAAGCATTCTAGACGCTGGCAGTACAAAGGACGAATAGGGCGAATCAGAACCAGAACCAGGGCTACCTTGGACATCTTTGTCCTGCTGACATGCTGCACTACTCACTTAGGCCTGCAAAAAATTTCCCAGATTAACTGGAGTCTACCATGTCATCAGAGTCTACAGCTGTGCTTTGTTGGGTCTCCCTTACGACTTCAGGTCATTCAAGTTGACAAATCATATTACAAAGGGTTCACCAATCTGGTTAGAGAACTTGTCCGTCCCCTTATGCGTTGGAGCTCAATCTAGAGCCCTCGTGGGCAGTTGCATAGCGACTTGTAATACGAAAAAAGACAAGGGAGACCGGAATGCAATTTCCGGCTTGCAAGCGGTCATCGTTGAGCGCCCTACTACCATAGTATTCCCTATCGCAACCGAAAAGACCAAAAGGCTCGTGGTGCAATGGTCAAGTGTTGCACTCAATGACAATAGGTCCCGGGATCGAATCCCGGGTGATCCACGCTTGGGATTAGGTATGACTGGCTGACGACGGCTAGGAATGGCCTTTCCGGTCTCCCTTGTCTTTGTTGATTCTACTTAATCATAATAATATACATAAGATAAATGTAGGTTCCTATATGTTACTTCTGCTGGTTTCCGTTCCTGTTGTTAGAAAACACTTAAACAACGATATGGCAGCGAAAAGCTCGACTTATTATGATGGATCGGTGCGCTTACCGATCCAATTATTGGTCATGATCGTCCCATTGTGCCTTACTGCTCCAGCTTCAGCCATTGCAGGCAGTTGCATAGCGGCTAATAACATATTCTGATGACGGAATACGGATGAAGACGGGAGAGACTGGAAGGGATATTTCCGGCTTGTAAGCCATAATCAGTTAAACGTACCCAGTCTTAAGTGTGTACCATTCGGCATTCGAACTCAGGAGTCTTGGCCACTGAGTCGAACGCCCTGCCAATGAGCTACGGATCCGATATCCTATCAGTTGTGACCAGGAATATTAATTATTATAGAGTGCTACTCACCGATCAAGCTATGGGATATGCCCGTCCCGTTGTGCTTTGGGCTTCATTTGTACTCTTAGTTCTTCTACTACTATTCCTACTACTACTACTACTACTATTACTACTACTACTACTACTAGCGTTATCATGTCATGCGGCACATCTTACGCCGCCTGTGCGACTCCCACGAAAATCAATGTTCATACAGTGGACGCACTAAAAGGTGCACGTAAAATTGCTACAAAAATCGAACCTGCGTAAGAGATCAAAAAACGGCTTTTATAAAAAAAGAGTGTCCAACTTCCACACGTTGAGTAACACTGACGTGAGGCTATCGACAGATAACGAGCATTAAGCAAACTCTCTTGGTTGGTCGTTCTCGGTGGGTGGGCGGGTGGACATGTCTAAATCTCAATTGTCCTTACTTCCTCTTTGGTTACGTTTGGCCGAAAAGACGTGAGCCACAACTCACTCCCATCCTTCCCGAATGACTTGTACCACCGAATGCCAGACGGGTAATTGAATGGGAGATAACTGTTGTTTCAACTAATGGCGTAGCCTCCTTCACTTTGTGGACGGTAATGGAGTCAACGTCTCCACATCCTGACACTTTAACCAATCAGGCACTAACCTGGGGTGGTGGCCTGTGATTGGTGCCAAGTAGCCTCACTCTGTGCGCCGCCTATTGGCTCGCTGAGAGTGAGGGAGGCTGTGAAGGTGTCCGTAGTGCGTGGTCGGCCATGAAAGAGGAGGGACCAACGCAGACGATAGATTGGCCGGCTGGGCGCTGGCTGTACATGACAAATGAAGGGGTTGTCTTTAGGCCACTCAGGTGCTAATTGGAAGTCCAAACGAGTGCCTGGGAAAAAGAAAAGGGAAATTTTAAATGGCGGGAATGGAGTCGGACTCGTAAGATCAAGAAATGAGGGAAACAAGATTGAAGGGCGGTTTCCCACTTTAAGTACAGCACTGCTTATATCATATCGTGACTAACGTTAGCTAGTTAAGTCAGGACTCCGAAGATCAAAATGGCCCCTCACATAATCGTCAGGGCAGCATGGATGGGGAAGGGAAGTTAGACTTTCGCAAAATGCAAGATTAATGCCGCCAATATAATTCCCTGCCACTTCTACTAAGGCTTTACAAACGCTCTAAAGCCCAGGCGCCCCCTAAGACGGACACAAGTGTCACAGCTGTCAACTGAGGGGATAACTCGGTCAGCCTATCAGGACAGAGAGTAAGGCAGCAATAGCCTTCTTCTTACTGTGGCTCC